TAACCGAGTATAGCCTCAAAATAGACAACTTCGCATCTCACCGACTTCGTTCTTTGCTATTTCCATCAAAATCATATCAAAGTTCTACAAATTATTCTACGTAAACCACTCTAATTCAAACTGATTATGTATCTCTCGTTGCAATCGAACTTCTCTAGAAATCCAGTCACTTTTTCGAAACATTCAAAAAAGCATGAACCTTACCTGAAAACTAAACACTGCAGCAACCATACTGAGCAGTGCCATTGGCAAAAGACAGTAGCCAAGTATGCTAGTCGTGCAAGTGAATGATATATCCTTCTCTTCTGACATCAAATTCATCAGTCCATACATACCCAAACATCCAAAACCACCAATTCCATAGATATAACCAAAATGTAACTAAAAATCAACCATGAAATGCAACGATAACATCAAATTTCATTCGCAAAATACAACTATTACTATCAAACGAACATCGATTCCAAATACTTAATCGTTTAGTTCGTCGCACATTAAAAATTTCCTGTTCATCATAAACACTCTCTCATGTAACGAAAAATTACATCACAAACAAAAATGGAAAAAGGTAAAAATAACGAATAGAAAGCGATTCATGCCTTGCCGTGCAAAAGTAACGAAGCACCGAATAACAAACAAAACACCAGAGGACCAGCCAAATCCTGATCGGCAATCACCTGAATAAACTGCATTATCCGCACTGTTCCCCACAACTGTCATCTTTGATAATCATTCAGTAAGAATAAACAAAACTGCAAAATACGAACAAAACTTGAAGTGTGGACATTTCACTGGCATAAACTGCAATTGCAAATACTGCGAATTGCAATTGCAATTGCAAATTATTTCAATCATACTGCGAATTTGATCGAAACAACTGACGTATTCACTGTCAGATTGTCATAAATGCAAAACGAGCAATGAAAACGAACGCTTACATCGGGCGCAATCGACCCGAATGGATTGAGGACTGCGATGGTCTTCTCTCGGATATGACTAAAATTGATTCCCAGCTCTTCCAGCAGCGGTGGTTCATTTTCGTAATCGTCTTCCGCAGGAGCTGAAACAGAACGAGCCTCTGAAAATTTTCACTTGAGATATATCACAAACACTTGAAGATTCAAAAGACTGCGCGATGTTGCTTGAAATATACCATTTTAAACATATAGGAATTTAATGCGCTGGAACCTATAAGATAGCAAATAAATCTAGAACTTACGAGCACTGGCTTGTGACGGAATAAACATATGTCCACCATAATAATCGGGATAATTATTCAGTGGCTGGGGTGATGAGATTGGTTGCTGTGAATAATACGATGCTGAAATATCAAAATATACAAAAATGTATGCAAAAAACTGAACCATAGACATGTCTACCATTCGAAGGAGTTTCGAATAATTCGATACCGAGAAAAAAGACACATCTAACACAACATCAGATACGGAAAAAACAAAATAAAGAATTCATAGCTGAAAAAAAGAAATCCCCAATAACCAATCAGAGCAATGAAATAAATCTAACGTTGTTGTAGTGGTGGCGGTTGAGGTGGCGCATTCGCTTGCGGTTGGTTATAGTCGAATTGCGCCCAGCCTTGCTGATTACCCGTATTCGGTTGAGTATACCAGTTATTCCCGCTTCCATCATCCATCCAATATCCGGACATTGCTCTAGGGATTCTCTAAAATTCGCTTTAAGCTCTAAGAGTTCAATTGGTCATATACGTCTATATCTCTCATTCACGTTCATTAAAGTAATATCAATATCTGGTCGCGATACCCTAATTTCATTCTAAACTTGAAATTAAAAAAAAACGGATGTGAGGAGCTTGGCCTGCTCGCCTAGCCAGCGCGGTGGCGTCAATCAAGGCTAAAACAGTGCGAACGGAAACGCAAGCATTGTGGCCAGCAACGTTATAAACGTTTGACAGCCTGGCCAATCCAGGTAATCCAGGATATGAGGAGNGGCGTGGCATTGACAGTTGTCCTTTTTTCAAATGCGGCAATTTGAAATTATCCGGAAGTGACCATAACAGAAAACCTATCTTAATCATCCTTGAAGCATTAGATTGCAAGAAACAATATTTGATCATAACAGAAAACCTATTTTAATCATCCTTGATGGGCACCCCAATTGTCGCTAAACACATATGATATGAAAGACTTCATAGCGAGCCAGATTTTTACCACACTTTTCGTTTGTGACAATTACACAGAACTGAACTAAACACCATCAAGAAAAATGACTTTATTCATTCAATCTGACCAAATTGCATTACAAAAACTAACAAACAATACCGAAATTAACTACATTTTACAACAAAAACAAAACAAGGA